ATCTGTTTTATAATTTATTCTAATGGTAAAATCCCACTAGTCTTTTTCCTATTAGGAAAATCCCATTAGATTTCTTTTGTTTTATTTAGAATATCATGATTTCTAACTTCCAATATAGTTTAGACATACATATCAAAATGAGCAAACAGTTCTAAACAAAGATTTGAAAATTTAATTTATTTTTTCTCTGTGTAGATTTATATATGTCTTTATTGGGAAAATCTCAGAGAACTTGGTTAGCAAAGCTCTTTATATGGTATAGTTCCATTTGTTCTTCAGATTCACTTCTTATTTTCCCACCCTTCTCTATGACGGAGGAATCTGACCTGTATGGACTACATTAATGGTAGAATTTTATTATTATTAGTGAGGCTAAGTATTTTTTCACATATTTATTGGATATATGTATTTTCTTGATAATCTGTTTATTATTTTATTCCATAAGGATGTTTATCTTTTCAAAATAATTTATAGGTGCTGGAGTGTTTTCTGCATGTACCATGGCTCAAGGACTCTGGAAAAGGGTCTATGCATAAATTAATAATCTAGACATGAAATATAAATTTGGAAGGCATGGGGGAAAGCCATACAAAAACTCAGTTCTAGTGATTAAGCTCTCAGAATCTCCAGACCCATGGCTTTTTATTTCCACATTCTTCCCTATAACAAAGCAGATATACATATCAAAGGTAAAGGTTGGTAAACAGTAAAAGATTATCAGGTGTGGGGACCTGCCCTTAGCTGTCTGGCAGCAGGCAATAATATGTAGATCTTCAGCTCTCCTGAAGCCACAAGGTTAATAAACCTTTTGATGAACTTCTTGCATTTATGATCTGCTAGAATTAGCCTCCAGCATGTTCCCCTTCTTTGATTTAATAAATTTAATAAGAATGTATGTCATTTGCAGAACTCATTTGCAGAGCTCAGATCCTTTTAAGATTTTCAAATTCAATGGAAGGGATAGTTCTTTCATGTCCTTTTTAATTGCTTCTAGGCATCAATGGGATCAGTCTGTAGTAAGCTCTTTTCTGGGCCTACAGTTCTTTTAGTCCCCTTTCCAATCACTGTCTCTTGTGATATGACAGCAATGATATTCTAGTTCTGGATGGTGGACAAACAGTGATCAATGGCAATGCAGGTTCGATCTTCTTTGGCTTTGTCCTAGGCAACCTATAGCAATGCATAACTGCTGACTGCTAGCATAGCAAAGCATCTTCACCATGCTCCATCTCTGGGCTGTTTCATCAGTGTGTTGCTTGGGGCCACTGCTATCTGTGGCTGGAGTAGTCTGGTTAGTTCCTTACTCAGATCCATTGTTGCAGGAATCCACACAGTGTGGGAAGAGTTTTCTGAAAATAAATAAGCATATTTTCAACCAAAGGTTAATAAAGGAATCCTTTCTATAAACTAGACTTGGGATCCTTTCATTCTGCCAAACCATTTTCCTTTGGCTTATTGTGACATCATGTGTGTCTTGCCATCAGCATTATAAGTGAAAAAATTTTTAAAGTAAAAATTTAAGTAATTAAAGGAGATTACTCCACTATCCTCTCTTTTTTGTTTTAAATAATATTAAGAGGAAATCTTTGGAAATCTTGCATTGCAGTCTTGATAGTTTTTTAATTCAATTCTTTGCACAGAAATATGACTGTGCATTATATGCAGCTTTACTATGAGATGAACCATCAGTAAATAATTAGTTAACACTCCAAGAATAGTTTCCTGCCTAGTACAATACAAGGTTCCCTAGTACAAGGTTCCCTTGATTATTCACTTACTTCAATTTGCCAGTTTAAATTAGTCTGAAATAAGGCTTATTTTCTAACTTCATTTGTTCTTGGCTATTTCTTCTATCAGTCTTTGAGTATACCTCCTGATGTTTTGTGGATTACATAAGCTTTGTTGAGGAAGGCAAAAACACAAATTCTTTATTTTTCTTTTTGAGGCCTAAGGTATTAACTTTTAATTACAGCTTTCCAGACATTTGGAGAAACCCTCCCCTTTTTTCCCCCCCCTCTAGGGTATTTTCTACACTTAGAAAGTTTTTTTTAAAAACCTTTTTTCTTTCTTTTCAGATGCTGGCTGATACTGCTGCCTACATTTTTAGTGCCTCTCTTTTATTTATGGTGACTGATTAATCATTAGATTTAATGCTTGAATAATAACCTTCAGTTTACTCTGTAAATGTTAGTGGAGGAGATTTAAAAATTTTAAAATTTCTCCTTTTATTAAGCTTAAGATTTATTTTTAAACAAAATTCTTTTTGGTTAGCACTCATTTGCATACACAGAGGGATTGTGGGAGGTCTCAGTAACTTTTCAGAGGACTTTACTAGAATCCAATTGTTTATTAAAATATTTGCTTCTCATATAACCAAAATTGTATAAGATCTTGATTATATTTTTAAAAACTAATTTAAGTAATTACAGTAGACATCTCTTATTTATAAAGTAAAGTAAGAAGACTTATACATTTGATCTATTCCATTCTTTCTCCTAGCCTATTTAAAATGCAGGCTGCCCAAGGCTTTTGTTTTTTAAAATTCTCTTGTTGAATCTTAAGAAATATTTAGCAACTTTGTCTTGCCCTCCTTAAAAACCTTTATAATATTTAAAATATATGTATATAAATAAAATATATTTATTAATTTTTATTTGATAAAGCTTTCCACATGATTTCAAGTATATTAAATAGGTTAAATTAAAAAATATTTATTTTAAGAAGAGGGAATAAATTCTTTAATCACTCCAGGGCCTGTGAAATGTTTCATAGTTATCCCTAGATTAAAGTCTTGAAATTTAACTTGGAAAGATTATCATATATACTTTTTATAATTATTCTAAGAGATATCAATTAAATTTAAACTGGTTTTTATATTAAAAATTTGGTTGAGACCACAGAATTAATCCTCTTTATGAATTAGACCATATTATATTTTAGGTTGAAATTTTACCACTCTTGGTACATCAATATATTTTAAAGTACTAATTTTTCCAGAGAAAATATAAGAATTATTTTCTCAAAAATAAATTTATATAATTTATATATTTTGTTATTACAACTATATAATTTCCCCCTGTGGGAAGCACTGAATACCAGGAGGCAGCTCCTGCATTGAGTGTCTGCTCCCTGGTGTTTAGAGTTCATCATTGCGACTGGTTATTCCGCAGTTCAGTCTATTTGCATATTAGCCTTTTATTGTATAGGATCCTGCTAGAATCACTCTCAGTACCCAAATAATATTTACTCAAGTTTTCCTTGAGAAACAGAACCAAAGAAATATAGATGGAGATTAAAGAGGAGATGGAGGAATGGGGAGGGAGAGAGAGGGAGAGAGACAGAAAGACTATAATTAATTGGCAACTATGAACTCTGAAGGTAGCTATATCTCAGATTTTCAGGTGAATTAGCGAGCTGGAGACTCAGAAGAGCCAGTAATTTAGTTTCAATTTGAGTTTAAAGGTCTGAAAATCTGTAGAGCTGATAGTGTAATTCTAGTTCAAAGGTCAGTGGGCTTGAGACCCAAGAAGAGCTGATGTTTTAGTTTGAGTCCAAAGGCAGGAAAATAGCCAACATTTCAGTACTCAGGCTGTCAAGAAGAGCTCTCTTACTCATGGGAGAGTCAGGCCTTGAATGATTGAATAATACCCATCTACTTTAGGGAGTGTGGAGAGCTACTGCAGCCAACAATGTCATGAACGTGCACCAAGAAATGTGGGAGGCCAATGGACCTTAAATGCTAGCAGGGCTTACCCTAGGCCCTGGTTGTTCATGTTGAGATAGCAGTGGCTCCAAGCAATTTTCTGACCTGATAGCCTCTAAGTAAATGTTTACTGAACCTTAGTGGTCTTTACTGACCTTTGAGACTATCTGTCTGCTACATGTTTGCTATGCTTTCCTGAGGGCAAGATGTGTATCTAAAACTGAATAAAATTGGACAAGGCCAGGACTCAATGTGTCTCTTCAGGAAAGAGGTTCCACCGGGCCCCCCAATACCTTCTAAATTCATATTTCTAGTGTAGCATCTTCATTTGTGTGTCAGCTCCTCCTTCAGATCCTGGCCCTCACCATGCATGAGAGAGAAACATTGTAATTGGCATCCGAACAGGGACTTGAAGAGAAGATTCACCTGAGCGAAATACAAAGTGAAAAAGGAAAAGTAGAAACTCACCAGGAAATGTGGAAACTCACCAGTGCCCAAAGCCCATGCCAGCTTCAGAGTCTTGAAAGTAAATGGATGGGATGCTTCTGGAATCAGCCAGGTTATAATGAGTAAAAGGCAAAAACATTATTGTAGACTTTTAGCTTGCATTCTCAAGGATAAAGGAATTAAAGTGTCAAAAGTATTCTCTTACAGTTTTTGCATATTATCATAGAGTATAATCCTTGGTTCCCTGAAGTTAGAACATTAGACCTTGATCTCTGGAAACAATTAGGTAGGAATTTAAGAAGAAATCAGGCTCAAGGAAAATGAGCTCCCTTGTCATCTTTAACTATGTGAGCTCTTGTTCAAGCTGTATATTGCCCACTTCATATTGAGGATCAAAAGCCTACAGAATTCCAGGAGGATTTATCACCACCCCTTCCTGCTCCTCTGCCTCCAGTGTGGGAAGACTCATCAACTAGAGAAAATGGAGCTAACAGTCTGTTTACAAAAGGACTCCTTAATGCTTTGTCTGAAAATTACCATATGACACCTTGGGACCATCAGATTTTAGGTAAAATGACTTTAGATGCCAATCAATGCTATGGAGAGCAGAACATAATAAGATCTATGAACAACAGGCTGAGCTCTGGGCCGCATCTGGCTGTAAGTCCCAGGCAATGTAAAACATCTGAAAGAATCATGAAAAGAACTCTGATCTATTATATCTTATCTATGTGTTATGCACGCTTGTCTGTTGATTATTGTTTTATCTGTGTTTTTTGTTTGTTTGGTTGGTTTAATTTCTTTATTGTTAGTCTATTAACCATGCCTTTAATTTATCTTCATAGAAAAGAAACAGTAGGTGGCCAGGCCATTACTAACACAATGTAGGGTGGGGGAAAGAAAATGAGAAAATTCCATAAGATAAAGGGAGGTAAATGTGATTAAAAAGGTCCCAGCCCATTGATACTAGGTCTCTTGGTGATCCTGTGGAATGTATGCTCACTCTCGGGAGTGTTATTGGGACTCTCATTTTTGTTTCCTAGTTCATCACTTAAAATTTAAATAAATGAGCCATTTCTCACAAACTGGGGGCTTGTCCAGGATCAGAGGAGATCAGTCTGGAGATGATCTGGGAGATGTCTGCAGTTGTGGAATGAAGAATCTTAAAAGGACTCAAGCCCTATAGATGGGATACACTTTTCAAGTTTTATTAAGAAAGCACAGAGGGGTAGATGTGGAAGCCACTGCATGCCAACACTGTCATGAGCAGGCACCAAGGAACATGAGAGTCCAATGGACCTTGAGCATTAGCAGGACTTACACTAGACACCGATTGCTCGTGTTGAGATAGTGGTGGCTCAAAGCAATTTTATGACTTGATAGCCTCCAAGTAAATGTTTCCTGGACCTTATTGGTCTTTACTGACCTTTGAGATTGTCTGTCTGCTACCTTCTTGATGTGCTTTACTGAGAGCAAGATGTGTATCTAAAACTGAATAAAAAGCAGATAAGGTCAGGACTTGGTGTGCCTCTTTAGGAAAGAGGTTCCACCTGGCCCCCTAATACCTTCTAAATTCATGTTTCTTGTATAGAATTTTCATTTATGTGTCGGCCCCTTCAGATCCTGAACCTCGCCATGTAGGTCCTGGCAAGGGAGGATGGTCTTTTTCACTCAGTATATTGATTTAAATATTCATCTCATCTGCAAACACCCTCACAGAAAGATCCAGGACAATGTTGATCAAATATCTGGAAACCTTGTGGCCAGTCAAGTTACCACATAAAATTAACCATCACATCAGACTTTCCCCAAATAAAAAGATCTTACAATTTTTAACTCTAAGTATTACCAATGTATATGTTATTTTTGTTTTGGTCTGATCTTGTTTTTTCCTCTTCCCCAAATTAACCAATTTTATCCTGTTGCTTATTGCAGTAAGTGCTTTTTAAAAGATGTCTCTACTTTTTACCAATTTATTTGTTCACCTACCCACTTTCCACCTTATTCATTATTTATTCAATTTTTTTCATGAAGATTATTTATTAGAAATTCCTTTAGTGCTGGTCTATTGGTAGTAACTGCAATCTATTTTTATTTGTGAAATTCCCATTTTGATTCCATTCTTAAGTAATATTAAATGAGGACAAAATACTCATTTTTATGAGAATATTTATATATGTATTTTCAGTTCATTCACTGAGATTGAGTAATTCACTACCTTTCCTTTATTTATTATTGCTATTGATAAAACAGCAATGTTTAATTGTTGGTTGTGGTCTGTCTCTTCCCTTGGCTTGGTTTTAAAATTATTATTATTATTATTTTTTTTTATTTTTATTTTTTTTATTTTTTATTTTTTTTGCTGCTTCACACATTTTGAGATTTATATTTTTTTCTCTGAGAACTGAATTGTTTTATTACTTCTGGAAAATTCTCACCCATTCTCTTAATAGATAAATTCTTCACCATTCTCTTTCTTTTTTCCTTTGAAACTTCTTTTGAATAAATGTTGTACTTACTCATTTGACTTCTATGTCTCTTAAACTCACTCATATATTTTTCCTTTTTTTTTTGTCTCTCTGTGATTCTGTGAATAATTTCTCCAAGTTTATTTTTTCTATTCACCATATCTAATCCTTTTTTCAAATATTTTAGTGACTTTTAAAAATATCTACAAGTTATTTTTATCCTTTCCCAAATTTTTATCATTAGTAATAATCTTGTAGTATGCTCAATAAAAATTATGGGAACTGAGGAGTTAACTGGGATCAGATATAAAGAAAATGAACACAAGTGTCTTTTTAATAATTTTTTAAGCAACAATGGATTTATGCTTTATGATGCTTTTGTAACTACCTAACATTTTTATAATTACAAATTTTGAAAATATATATCAGCATGTATAGATCTACCTAATCTTTTTTATTGCTGCAAGATATTCTATTATATATATTTTTATCATGCTGTAATACTTTCTTAAATATTTGATTCCTTCATCTATTTTAATCAATTTAAAAATAATTATCTTTTAGTATATTTTAATCTTATTCTCTAAAGCTCTTGTGTTTTTATTTTTGCTTTTTTCTTTTTTTGTGGATGCAACTTTTTTGGTATAGACTTTTTCCCCCTTCATAGATCACAGGTCAACTCAACAAGTTGAGCTCTTATTTTACTTTGCCAGTAGATGAATTTTTCCCTTGCTATTTCTTCACTGAGGTCATATGCTTTATGTATCCTGGCTTTATATATACAGTTTGTCTGTGCCAGTCCAACTCTCCAACTCAAGCAATCCCAATGCCTTATTTTTTGGCCCATAATGTTCATTAAATTCCTTTAAATAACCAGACTAAGAGCCCTTATTCCCTCAAGCTGCCAAAGGGCTAGCATTGGTTGACAAAACTGGCTTTCAATTTTCTACTTGCATTTAGCCAATGGGGATTTTACAACTTCTTTGTGAGTTTGGCTATGCATTTTAAACAATCTTTGTTATCGTATTATCCCACACTTACAGGTGTTTGCAGTTAAAGATTTTCATAGTCTCAAGTTATCTGTAATATTGCTAGGCATAGGCATCCCACTGTTTCATCACTTAGCCTTAGAAATGTTGGCTGCCATTTGTCTTTGTAATCCTCTCCCTAGTTCTGGGCACACCTTGTCTTAATTTCTTCTCTTTGGTAGGAAAGCAGGGCTGATTTAAGTTTTAAACTTTTACATGGGGAGTGTTCTGGTTGTTTGAATTTCAAAGTGAAAGTGAATATACTTAATGTATAATGCCAGGGACATAGTTTTCAAATATTGTTATTCTTCCTCATCTACCTTCACTACTCTCACATGATAATAGCTCAAGGTCATTCATATTTCAATTTTACAGTTGCATTCAGTGCAATGTAGTGGAAATAATAGTGACTAGAGTGAAACAACCTGAATTATAGTTTAAGCTCTTCTACTACATTGTATAACCTTGAATTATCTATCTCTTAGTGCCACTGTTAATTTGCATAAAACCTTCAAGTTCTGACTATGATTATGTTATTCTAGACCTTGTTACTTCAAAGAAGAACAGAATGATTAAAAACTGAAAAGTTTTATATTTTTAAGTTTTAAAAATCATAATTTGTAAAGTCATTCTTAAAAGTCAAATTTAAGGGTAGCTCAAAGTGTCTGTTCCCACCCTCACCCCCGAAAAAACAAAACAAACAAACAAACAACAACAACAAAAAAAAACAACCAGGAAAAAGGATTCATTAGACACATTATATTAAAATTATTTAGGGTAAAGATTAGATTTGAATAGGAAAAGTCTAGATACCTGGATATGTAGATTTCTAGGTTACATGAAGGACCAGAGCTCACTATTTTGACCCAGAGCATAGTTGAAGGAATTAAATACAGTCACGAAGCATATAATTAAACAACTAACTATGGTATTTTACTCCTTAAAGTAATTCGCCATTTTAGCTATAGTCTCCATTTAGCCTATTTTTCACATTTACTCTTTCTTACCCCTAAGTACAGAAAAGAAAACAATCCACTTAAGCCCAGAAAGTAACAGAAGTCACTGGAGAAGTTCTCAGATCCTCGCTGCCCTCTCTCCTAAGAGCTACTTGCACTACCCTGTTACCCCGAAAATAAGATAGTATCTTATATTAAGACAGTGTCTTATATTATTTTCTCCCAAAGTTGCGCTAGGTCTTATTTTCAGGGGATGTCTTATCTTTCCATGCGCTAGGTCTTATTTTTGGAGGATGTCTTATTTTTGGGGAAACACGGTAGTTAGGAATCACATACACATATGTCTATGGCCAAGTACTCCCTTTAATAAGAATGCTGGGAAGAACATTTGTAGGTCTTTTTGCTCATGGCCTTTTGAAAGTAATTTTAACATTTCAGAGGTGAATCATTCTTTCCATTTTGCCTACTCACGCATATGGGTTCATTCTGTATTTTTACCAGTGATTAAGGAAATTATTTTTCTTTATTTCTCTTTAACAGTGGTGAAAGTCCTTAAAATCTTTGATAAAATTTCCTCAAATCACTGATAGCATTTTCTAAACTCGCTCTCTGGAGGCCTTGACTGGTGAGTAGGGAAATGTACCTCCTATAGGCTTCCAGTAGGTGGCAGGTACAGTACTTCAAACCTCCCAAAACATGAAAAAATCCACCAGCTCAGTACATAAATATAGGTTGTTACTGTGTTTTAAATCTTAAAAGCAATTTAAAAAGGAGTAAAACTTCTGTTTATGGATCTAGTATCATATTAGCATATAAGTATCTTCTTATTTTTATCTTCTACTAAAAGTACAAATGCAACAAATGAAAATATGTCTTTATCAGGAAACGCCTGCAATTCCAGATTGCAAATTAAGCATTTAAATGTTGAATAATATAATCATCATGTTATAGATGTTAATTAAAGTGCTTAGTGAACAAAGATACATTTAGTAATTTTTAAATATAAATTTTGGAGATGAATAACTATTGTTTTATAGCAATTATAGTTTAATAGGCTTCCATTTAAATTTTATTGCTTTTTTTACAGATTCATAGATGGCAGAAATACAAGTAGATATAAGTAAATATATACATATGTACATACATGCATACAAAAATTTATAAATCCATTTCTTTGTTTTTTCAAAAATAATTTTATCGTGTTTTCTTCAACTTACTATGGAAATAAATGTCTACTATGTATTCGGGGGGAAAAATTGCTCTTTGTGACTTATGGTAAGCCCCTTGTAGAAGAGAAATGAGCACTCAGTCAGACCACACATTACCTGACTAGTAAGATAGAAGTTTGTTCTGAAGTGGGTGACTGTGAAAGCTTCAAAATATTCCATTGCACATTCCTATACACAATTT